AGTAGTAGTAGTAGTAGTAGTAGTAGTAGTAGTAGTAGAGAGAGAGAGAGAGAGAGAGAGAGAGAGAGAGAGAGAGAGAGAAGAGAGAGAGAGAGAGAGAGAGGAGGGATGGTCACATTAATCAACAGGTAACGAGAGAAGATTGATTCCGATAAAAAAAAAACCAGGTTTGAATAATCGATGATGTTCTACTGGCCAAGGTTAAACAAAAGGTTTCGGACTGGCCACCCAAGTTGGAGTCGGATAGCTAGATCGGCCATTTAGATTACCGAATCGGCCAAATTGGCCCTAAAATAATAATTATAATAATCTTTTAAAAAAAAAGTTAATTAAAAATCCCTGAAGAACTTAATTTTTAAGGATTTTTATTTCCTCAAAAAAATAAAAATCCCTCAAATTTATAGTTTTGAGTTTTAAATTAACGGAAAGGTTTCTATACTTCGTTTGTAACATAGAAGATCTATGCTTTCCCTACTATCCAACCGTCCAATTTTGATCAAGAAAGTCACTTACCGTTTGATCTTAGATCTGACGTCTCAAAGTATTTTTCTTTTTAGTTTCTTTATACAAATTGTATGAATATAAAATTTGGTACATGTCATCTTCTCATTGGAGTGCACTTATAAAATATATTAAAAATAATTTTTTGATAAAATATAATGACTAACATACCCCTTGAAACTTTTAAAAGTATTTTGGTTATTTTATTTTATTGAAAATATTTTTTTTATATTTTTCGCTAGTGGGAGTTTAAAAGAAGATTGGACGTTAAAAATGGTGTCAAAGTAGTTTATAGAAAAAAATAAAAAATAAAATAGTGTAGAGACGTGACATTGTAATTGGAGCAATCTTAGCCCTCCATTCAAAATGAACGGTTGGATGAGGGGAAGTATATAAGTATTATGCTATAGGGGAAACATAGAAAGCTTGTCCTTTAATTAAAAGTCGGGCTTCTATGTTATGTTTATTATTTTGTAAAAATAAATTAATACTGAGCTTTCATTTGCCTATTTGTACGTTTGTTGACCATTATTTTCACACAATTGAAAAAAATAGCATACACTCATTATTGATATGAATATTTGGTCCAAAATACAGCACACAACTATTAAAATACAATCTAATACCAAATTAAAAGTGTCATTCTTCCTCTTCATTCACTAAATTGTCTTAACAGGTCATTGACTTGCTCAATATACACGTCATAATCGTCGTAGCCGAACTAACGATGCCTTACCATTTAAGTTAACTGTCATTTAAAAATTTAATTCCAAATATAATTTCCTTTACATTCATACATTCACATTAGTTTTTTAATATTAAATATTTCAAATCTTGTTTTCGTAAATACCGTAACAATAAGTATACTCTAAAATTAGAAATATTAGGTTGTAATTATTTGACTTTACAAGTATACATAAATTTAAACTTTGTTTTATAATAACTTCTAATATAAAAATATTCTTATTTACATATGTAATTAAAAAGTATACATTATGTATTTTATAACATAAAAAAATTAATTACTAAATTACAACATTTGCGTGATTAATATATAATGATAATAAGGTACTATATTACTTCTAATATGCAAATGATCCATCTTAATGATATAGTAATATGGTAGATAGTAAATATAATAACTAAAAAAGGATATATATATTAGTATTAGAATATATTTATATATTCTAGTATTTTCAAGAAATTTTCTTAATAAAACGAAAAACTATAAAATTCATGAAGATCAATTAATATATGACAATTCATCAAAAATATAAACCCAATAAATACCTTTTTTTTTTCTGCCCTCGATTTGTATTTAAATAAGTTTAGATCAACAAATTTATATAACAAATTTGTACATAGGTGAAATCTTTTAAAACCAAATTTGCACAAATTTAGTTCAAAATATTTTCCAATATCCTCAAAAAGGCGGATTATGTCACTAAAACAAAGATGGATTAGGTATTGATATTGTTTCCTCATCCGATCTTAATGAGTAGGACATGAGGTAAGTTCTCAGAAAAGGGATGATCACGATGTTACTGTGGAGTTATGCGACAAAATTACTGCCTCAATGTGGGAACGCTATCAAAATAGGAACCAGCATGTAGTGGTTATGAAGATAGTACATTTTCTGTACTCGTTTGAAGTGGTTATGAAGATAATACATTTTCTGTACTCGTTTGAAGAAAGTTTTTTAGTATTTATTCTTGGGCATGAAATCCGATGATTACCATCTAGATTTATTCTGTAATTATATGATTGTTTTTCATAGAATCTGGTTCAATGTCTATGGTTACTTTTCTATATGATGACTATGCACTGGTCGAGCTCGAATGACTTTGGTTTTATAGAAGCATAATAGGTTTGCATAGAATAGTACTGAATATCTATGATTAGGTTGCTTTATAATGGTTTAGCACAACATGAGATTGACTGGACATGTGATAGTATAATTGTGTAGGATAGATTGGGATGAAATGTTTATTGTTATGTTTCTACAATGATTTTGAGGGATTTGTTTCTGCAACTCTATATTAGCTTTGCATATAATGTGATTTAATTTTTATAGTTGTATATTAGTTTTGCATAAAATGTGATTGAATTTTTATAGTTATGTCTATATATAAAAGTTTTGCGCAGAATGAGATTAGATGAATTGGGTTCTATGTTAGTTTTGCATAGAGTTGGATTGAATGTTTATGTTATGTTTCTATATAAGGGTTATTGGTTATGTATTAAAGAAAATTACAGTCTTCAAAGGCTCACAACCTAGAATATACACAAGTTGGGAACGGAGTCATTTTACTATCAGTCGATGCAACATACCAGAGTTTTCCCACTTTGAAAGAAGAGAATATTGGCGAAAGTTTTAAGAAAGGAAAACGTTTATATAGAGCCGAGGCTCTCAACAATGAACTTGGAGCGCCCCTCTAAGATTTCACTAGAAGAGGTTGTTTTGGTGCCCAAATATCCTCAAATTAATCATCTCGACATCAAGATGCGGACATGAGAAAAAATTGGATTTCAAGTTTTGGAAATAGTGCATCTTGTAATGTATTTTTGGACCATCAATTTTCAAGATTTTCATAGATCTACTCAATCTACACTATTTTTTAAGCTTTAAATTTTATTATCAGAGATAAAAGTATATTTTAAAGCTATATTAAAGAATTCCGGTATAAAAACCACATTCTTGATATTATTTGAAAGTGCACTCTATTTTGATTGTTTAGAGCCTAGGCTCAATACAAACCGCACCCTTTAAGAAATGACATGGATTAACATGTGATGAAGCAAAAGATCTTTTGAAATTTTTAGTAAAACAATATGCGTCAGAAACAGATATGTTTATTCATCGCAATAATTGTATGTTGTACTACCCTAGGTCGTAGTGGCAATACGTATCTTCTTCTATTTTCTTTAGAAAAATAGCTCGAGTCGCCAAATGAGGAACTTTGGAACTTTACAGTGCATTTTAAGGGTGGATATAGACATGGAAGTTTGGCCATGCCTATGGAAATAAAAAAAACATAGAATTGGAGCATCTTTTACCTAATATTTTTATTTTCATAGAGCCCACAAGAGAGAGAGGGCTCAAATTAGTTAACCAAGGCTTGAGGCTCAAAGTATTTAATAAAGTTTTCTATAATTTACGATATAAACTTTTTTTTTGTTGTTGTAATATAGATTGATTATTTGCCAGAAATCGTCTTCTTTGGGGCCATGTCAATATCTAATCATCAAAATTTGAATTGAACTGTCAAAACTATTTTGCACTTACAAATTATTTCACATGAAGCAAACAACCTAATAAACCTGGGCCAGCTTAGCGATATAAAAAGAGACATTTTGTTACGTGTAGGATACTTTATGACCTGCTAAGCATAGAGTGCTTTTTTATTCCCTCTTTAGTTTAAGAAATTAAGGCTCTTTCAACTTTTACCAATGAATAAGATTCAACACTTGCCTACCAACAAGACAGGAAAAAGACAATGTTACCCACTCTGAAATATGCATCAAATGAAAGTCATGGATTGGAAGCCTTGTATGATATGACGTCCGAGGTTAGAACTACTTACCCAAAAGAAAAAAAAAACTAAATGGAGAGAGAGATAGAGAGTGAGTGTTGTGTGGTGAATTGGGAATAGGGGTGGCAACAGGTCGGGTATGGTTCGGGTCTGACTGCATTTGGACCCAGACCCCAATTGTATTCTGATTTAGGTTTTCAATGAGAACCAGGACTCGAATAGTGTTTGGGTCCAGGTTTTGGACCAAGACCTGACGTGCGCGGGTCCTTGAATCCATACCCAGACCCGTATTGGCGAGTCCCGGGTCGGGTCGGGTTAGGGTCCATTTCCACCATTAAGTGGGGGGTTTTATTTATTTGTGTGAATGTTGAGTGGTTAAGAGAGAGAGTTCACATATATGCATAAGTTTATTTGTCTGAATGTATATATTTATAAGCATTACACAGAGAAATGGGGGATATTTAGAAAGTCATCATCATCATCCGAGCTTTATCCCAATTATTTGAGGTCGATTTGGGATATTTAAAAAGTAATATATTTAATTGATACAAGCAACAATCAAATATTATCTTAAGGTAACTTCAAATCTCGCTTCTTAACATGTGGCGTTGTCTTCTAAAGCGGACATTTATGGGCTTGGTGGATAACTAATTCATCACAACTGCGCATTCTGATCGCCTTTATCGTTTTACTTTGCATGTAATTACATCCTAATGACGTACTAACCTTAACCTATTCAATATTTCTAGGGCATTTCTAACATAAATAAATGACCAACACTTTAGTGGTTATAGCATGGTTATAACAAAAATACACCAACCATATGCTACAGTCCTTAT